AGCCACCATGTGGTTGCTGGGAATTGAACTCAGGACCTTTGGAAGAGCAGACAATGCCCTTAACCGCTGAGCCATCTCTCCAGCCCAGATCAACACTTCTGGAGCCTCGGCCTCCATAGTAGCTGAGACTAAAAGCATATGCCACCACGCTTAGATCATTAACGGTCTTTGTTTTGTTTTGTTTTGTTTTCTGTTTTAGTTTTTCGAGACAGGGTTTCTCTGTGTAGCTTTGGAGCCTGGACCTGGAGCCTGTCCTGGAATTTGTTCTTTAGACCAGGCTTGTGTGCTGCCACCACTTGGCTCATTAGCGCCCTTTAAAATGTCTTTTAGAGATCCCTCCCTCCCTTCCCTTTGCCTCAGCCTCCTCAGCTTTGAACTTGTTGTGTTAAGAAGGATGGCCTTGAAATCCTGATCCTCCTGCCCCTGCTTCTCAAGTGCTAGGATTATATTATAGGCATGTGCAACCACACCTAGCCCTTTGAATGTTTATTTTATTGACTCTGTTTTAATTGTCAGCTACTGCTGGGGCTCATTCTGTTTTCTGCTCTTCTCCTTGTTCCTCTCTGTCCCGTTTTGTTATGTGTACTGTTCCTCACTGTTAGAGGGGATCGTACTTCATCTAGTGTGTCTTCACATTTGCTGTACTTTATTTCTTAAAGTTAATCATATCAATTGTTTGCCCTTTATTAGTTGTTGATCTTTTTACCAAACATGAATGCGTCATCATTTTTGAGTGATTTATTTAGGCTCTTTTGGACAATTTTTATTTTCTCAAGTTTTTACAAATTTGAAATTCGCTGCATGAAGCCTTTCTTTTCTAAAATTGGAAGCTTAGATCATTGATTTATTTTTTTCTTTTTAAAGATGTCTAAAGCAAGGCTTTATGAAAGTTCAACCTTAAATATAGTTCACATTTTACAGATACTACTGTTGTGTATGCATGTATGTCTGTGTTGTGGTTTGTGCATACTTTAGTTCAGGTGGCTGCTGAGGTCAGAGGCATCAGATCGCTAGGAGATAGAGGCATTGTAGGCTGCCAAATGAGGGTACTGGGTACCAAACTCAGGTCCTCTGGAGATCAGTATGTGCTCTTAACTACTGGTATATCTCCTGGCCTGTCCTCGTGTGTGTGTACACGCATGTATGCATGCACACGTGGTGTGAGTGCTGTGTAATGAATTCATGCATGATAGGCAAGTGCCCTACCAATGAGCTATATCCTGAGCCCTTTTTGTGTCTTATTTTGAGACAGGATCTTAGTTGCTCATGCTGGCTTTGAGCTCACTTTATAGTCTAGACTGACTTTAAGTTTTAAGTTTGTGATCTAACCTGAGCCTTCGAGTACCCAGGATTATAGACCTGCACCATCAGGCTTAGATACATTTCAAGAATTTTCCTTAGGCCTTATTAGTTTTTTTTTTTTTCTTTTTTTCTTTTCTTCTTTTTTTTTTTTTTTTTTACAATTCTGTGGCCCAGACAGGTAATTGTTTTTCTAATTATCTTTTATATATATATATATATATATATATATATATATATAATTTAAAGCCTAGTATTCTGCCTGCGTGTATGCCTTCAAGCCAGAAGAGGGCATCAGATCTCATTTTAGATGGTTGTGAGCCATCATGTGGTTGCTGGGAATTGAACTCAGGACCTCTGAAAGAGCAGCCAGTGCTCTTAACCTCTGAGATCTTTCCAGCCCTATCTTATTGTTCTTAGTTTATTGTGTAATTCCACTGCAAGAAGCATGACTTTGTATGGTTTCATTCTTATATTTGCTAGATATCTTAAGACTTCCAGGCCTCTTGGTAAGCATATTCTTTGTGTAGTAGTAACTCTTCCGTACCTGTGATCACCCAGCAAAAAGTCACTTAGAAAAGGATTTGTTTAATTTGGCTTGGAGTTCAGAGGGGCTAGAGTCCTTGATGCGGGGAGAGTCATGGCAACAGGAGGTGAGGCCAGCCTGGCAGTTGGGACACAACCTGATCAGACTTCATCTGCAAAAGGAGGTGGTAAAAAGAACCATGGATGGGGATGGAAGTCTTTCACCAAGGCTCTATAGCCTCCAAACTCCCAAAGAGTGCCACCAGCTGGGAACCAAGTGTTCAGGTACATCAGCCTGTGGGAGACATTTCTCATTGAAACCATAATATCCATGTAAAAGGAGATGGGTATTGTTGGTGTTCTGTAGTTACAGGATTGTGCAACGTCATTTAAGTTGACGAAGCTAATGCTGTGACTCATGTTTTCCCCATGGTTTCTTGTTTTTTTTTGGTTGTTGTTTATTTGTTTTTGTTTTTTTTTTTTCAGTTTCTAAGAATATCCAAGGATGTAAAGTTTTCTTTCCCTTGGATTTATTCAGTGTCTGTTATTGATTTGTTCTCATTTATGAGATATGAGATACATTTTAGGTGCTACTCCAGCCTTCTTGCTGTTTCTGTTACCATGGAGTATCTTTTCTATCTAGTTAATTTCACTTTATATTTAAAGTATCTGTCTTCCAGATAGCACAGTAGGGTCCCATTTTCTATCCTTTTTTTTTTTTTTTAATTTTTGTGTTCATGTTTAATTTAACTCTTTTCTTGCTTCCATCCCTTCCTCTCCTCTTTTGCTCTAGTGTTGGGGATAGAACCTAGAGACTCTCTCATGCTAGACAAGTACTCTACCACTGAGCTGCACCCCTAGCCATAATGCGGTATTTATACTTAATAGATAATAACTTTGTTGTTGTTGTTGTTGTTACTTTCTACGGGTTTTGTTTTGTTTTTTAGCTTGTTTTCTATTTTGATTTGAGCCAGGGTCTCTCTATGTAGCCCTAGCTGTCCTGGAACTCACTATGTGGACCAAACTGGCCTTGAACTCACAGAGATCCACCTGTGTCTGCTTCCCGAGTGCACCACGACACCTGATTTCTTGTTTTTGTTTTGACACAGGCTCTTTTGCAGCCCAGGAGGGCTTCAGACTTACTGTGCATTTGAATGTGGCCTTAGCCTCTTGATCCTTCTACCTACACCTTCCAAGTTCTGGAATTAGACACCATGCCTCTAGGTTTTGTACTTATTTCCTTTTTGTCTCCATTCCCTTTTCTTTTATAACATCCTACCGTCCTTTATTTTAGCCATAAAAAATGTGTGTGTGTGTGTGTGTGTGTGTGTGTGTAAACATACACAACTTTTTATTTCATCAGACAATGTTATAAATGGTTAACCATGACTTACAAGGAGTTTGTCCTAATAAACACTGTGAGTGGAGACGATCATACATTGAAAATGCACTTCTTGGTCTCCGCTTTGTAAGCTTATGCTCTCTCTCTCAAGACGCATTAAAGCTTTTCTGCAGAAGGAAAAAAAGAAAAAAGAAAAAAGAAAAAAAAGAAAATGCACTTCTTATTCCTACCTTTCTGACGTCCTGCCTTAACCACATAGCACAGTAAAGTTTAGTTTATTTTTGTTACCTAAGGTTGAATGTGAGCTGTAACATGCTGCCACTGCCTGAGATTACAAGAGATGGTCATACTGCATATTGATAGCCTAGGAATATCAAAATTCAAAACGTGAGGAAGATGCCTCCTGAATACATACCACTTGCGCACCATTGTAAAGTTAGAAAATCAGCAGGTGTGGTGGTGCACATCCGTGCTCCTAGCACATGGAAGGCAGAGGCAGGAGAACTATTACGTTCCAGGCTGCCCTGGGCTATATGGCATGATCCTGTTTCAAAACAAACAGAAAAACTGAAAATTTCTTCAGCCAAATCATGATAAATTGCTGTATGTGGGAGCTGACATGTTCTCAACGGCCTGTGTGGAAAGTTAGACTAGAGCACCCTGGGAGGTGGGGAACCTGAGAAACGGGGCTAAGAAGGGCCACCAGGGACACTGTTGGAGGAAGTACTGAGACTCTGACCTCTTCCTTTCCTTTGGCTTCGTGGTTGTCATAGGTAAGCAGGCCTCTTCCGCCCTGTCGTGATGCATTGGATGTTACAGGCTCAAAGCAGCAGGGCCAAACGACTGGACAGAAATCTTTAAAACTGAGGGAAAAGCAAACCTCTCCTCCTCTTCAGTTTGAATTTAATATTTTGTCATCGTAGCCTGAGAGCTGATTAAGATCTGGGAAGCATCTAAGTACAGTTGTGTAAACTGGAGAAAATGAGCTGAAGAGATGACTTGGTAGTCACAGGGATGCCCAGCGTGAACAGGACCCTGGGTTTGATCCCTCGTATGGGATAAAACCAGACATGGTAGTGTACACCTGTAATTCTGGCACTTGGGAAGTAGAGGTAGAGGGATCAGAAATTTAAGGTTAATCTCAGCTATGTAAGTGAGTTTGAGGCTTTATGAGACCCTG